AAAAAGCCTAAATTAAATAACATTTTAAATATTCTCTAAGCGTTATTTTATTTAATCTTATTAAAAATCTATTTTTTTAATAAAAGGTTAATAAGAATGCCATTTGAGTCATTCCAAATAAAAACACCAAATGGGGTGCGCTGCGTGATTTTTTATTTTGATGAAAAAATTTGAGGATGATCTTTTAGGTGTCAAATATGAAAATCCGTTGCCGTTTTAATTTTTTGTTGCTTTACTTTTATTTGGCACCCCTTAGAAGTCTGAAATAGTGTCAATTTCTTACTCTCTTATAGTGGGCCAGAACTTTTTTTCTGTGACAAATATTGAAATAATTTTAATTTTGTTTTACTGTCCAGTAACTGTGTTTTCGATATAAATTATTATTATCCAATTAGTTAATCTCATAAAAGAATTGTAAACCACTAAAGATTCATGATAATTTGCCAATTTTTGTGATTTTTGTCTGGCTCCTGTGCCTATTCTACTGAATTTAGAAGGTTCATTTTTTTCAGGTATAAAGTTGATAATTCTCAAAATTAGCCAATTTTGCCCTCAGAAATCATTATGTTGAGGAAAAAATAAAAATCTGAAACTTTCAGGAAATGTAGTCCCCACCTTTATCTTCTTAGTCCAGTTAGTCTTGTTTTGTTATTTTTATTCCTTTAAAAGATATATTAATTTTTTTAATGCCCGTTTAGTAGCGATATTGTAAGTTTTATTTATAATTTAAAATTAAGATGGCTTTCATTTTTGGTGGAGAAGTGTCAGAACTGTCAAAAATATTTCATAAATATTATTTGTGCGTATTTCTTTGGTAAATTTTGTATATAACATAATATGTCATATTATGTTATATATAAAACTTTTAAAATCACCAAAGGAATACCACAAATATTAATTATGAAATATTTTTGACAGTTCTGATATTTTTGGTAGTTATGTTATATTTTATGCATTGAAAAATCATATATATATATATATATATATATATATATATATATATATATATATATATTTATATATGATTATATATTATATACATTATAACGAAGTATTTAATTGGCTAATTGGTGTTTAAAGAAGATAAAAAATATATTCAAGATCCTTATGGTTTATATCGTAAGTATAATTATAATAAGTGAAATTAATAAAGAGTTAATTTAAACGTATAAAAAATGCGTTAAGTAGGTTTTTGTCGGTTTCTTTCACAATTTAAACCAAGTTAGTCTTGTTCTATTATTTTGATCCCTTTAGTAAGGCACTAAATAGTAAAAAGTTAAATGTATGTATTTTAAATGTTAGTGTTGGAAAAAATGTACACAATCTGTAAATACTTCTTTAAATTTTAGTTTTTAGGTAACTGGTTAAAATAAAACATGTTATAATAAAGGGGTTTATTTAAAATATTTTTTGGTTTTTGCTTATTTTTAACAATTTAAAACTTCTCAGAACTTAAATATTTTCTATAAGAAAGAGGTACAAAATTATGATATGTTCTTGCATTTTTCATGAATTCATGAATCTCGAACACTCATTTATTACACTTGCAAACTTTTTGAAATCACAATTTAAATACGCACAAATAAAATTTATGAAATATTTTTGACAGTTCTGACATGTCTCTAACAAACATGAATTGACAAAGTCAAAGCCATCTAAATTTTAAATTATAAATAAAACTAACAATATCGCTACTAAACGGGCATTACAAAAATTAATATATCTTTTAAAGGAATAAAAATAACAAAACAAGACTAAATGGACTGAAAAGATAAAGGTGGGGACTACATTTCCTGAAAGTTTCAGATTTTTATTTTTTCCTCAACATAATGATTTCTGAGGGCAAAATTGGCTAATTTTGAGAATTATCAATTTTCAATAATTTTTTTAATAAAGAAATTGATAGTCTAGAAACTTAAAATAATAGTTACGTTTTCTATTGTATAAGTACTTTATACCTGAAAAAAATGAACCTTCTAAATTCAGTAGAATAGGCACAGGAGCCAGACAAAAATCACAAAAATTGGCAAATTATCATGAATCTTTAGTGGTTTACCATTCTTTTATGAGATCAACTAATTGGATAATAATAATTTATATCGAAAACACACTTACAGGACAGTAAAACAAAATTAAAATTATTTCAATATTTGTCACAGAAAAAAAGTTCTGGCCCACTATAAGAGAGTAAGAAATTGACACTATTTCAGACTTCTAAGGGGTGCCAAATAAAAGTAAAGCAACAAAAAATTAAAACGGCAACGGATTTTCATATTTGACACCTAAAAGATCATCCTCAATTTTTTTCATTACAATAAAAAATCATGCAGCGCACTTTTGAATTCATTTTTGGTGTTTTCATTTGGATTGACTCATTTTGTAACCTAATAAACGTATAAATATCTAAAAAAAAATGGGGATACATCTGTTTTGCGTGTTATGCCAAAATCATGAATTTACGCTTTTGCTTTATTAAAAATAAGCGATTTTTGGCTCACCCTGTATATATCAAATTATGTGAACAGTATTAAAAAGTATTCTTTAAGTCTCCTCAATAATATACTCTAATTTTATAAAAATCGGTGTACAAATGTGTACTCTGTCAAAGGTAGACTTTGAAATAAACAAAAATTAAAAAAAAAATCATGAATTTTCAAAAAATTTTGAAAAGAGGAGCAGCTAGGATTTTGGTAAATATCATTTTTAAGTCACCCAAGGGTCCCGAACAAGAAACTGCAATCAGTTTTTGGCGTCATTTTTATGTGACTTAAACTTCGTATACCCTGATAGCACACTTTATTCTAAGAATGTTTTTTAAACCTTCCAGTGAGAATATTCTTAGAATCATATTTCTTCTAAAGAACATGCTTAAAAGACAAATAGCATGATCCTAAGAATATTCTTACTGCCCTATAGGCAGGTTCTTAGAAGGTGCAAAGTTTTAATGGTAAAAATTAGTCTACTCTAAACATATGCTTAGAATGTTAAGAAAGTAATTGCTATAGAAAGTTCATTTAGGAATATTTCTGTTAAGCATGTTATGCATATTTAGTACAGTTACCTATATAATAGTAAAATATACCATAAACTACGTATTAAGGTATATACCTATACTTAAGTACCTAATTAGTAATTAGTATCAAATACTAAGTAAAAACCACAATCCAAAATATTTTTTTATAGTTATTTGTCAAATTAAAACAATATTCGATAACAAAAATACTTTTACTATAGGTATTTTATTTTATGTTAAAAATAAATATTTATTAACTTGTATACCGATTTTTTATTTCTGAATTAACATTTTTATGTATAATAATCCTAACTATCTTCAACTTCAATCTAATGTGACTTATCCCACAAAATTTTCCAATTTTACTTTTTATGAAATAATGTCATACAACTTATGGTTTAGAGGTCAAATTGTTTATTTAATATTTTTAAATAAATATATATTTATATGTCGCAAAATTTTTTAAGGGCACTACAAATACATTTCACTGTCATATTATTACAGTGGGGCGTATTTGTCATCTCCTGAAAAATTTTACGAATGTAGAATACAACATATTAGAACGTGGGTATCTGAAATATTTGGAAATATTCTTAAAAGTTTCCTAGAAGCTCCAAGAACATTCCAAAAACGTATTCTTAAAATGTTCTTAGGATGCTTTTTAGGAAGGTTTTAAGAAGCTTTTAAGAATCTAATTGCATCATTAAAAAGGTATCTATTAAATGTTTTAAAAGTCCCTAAGAACATTCTTAGCAATAAGGGAAGGTTCTAAGAATATTCCATTATTCCGGGTCATATCTTCTTAGAAGATTCTTAAAATCAAATTTTGCCATCAGGGTATACACTTTGTTTTGCAGAAATTGAAAGTTATCATGATAATAGTTATTAAATATTGTTTCAAAAATAAGACTTTTACATTTTTCTTAAGGTGTCCAAAATATGTCTATAGACATACATGAATGTATGTCTAATATGTATTGTTTTTTTTAAGTGTTCAAATTGGTAATTAAAAAATATTTGGCCAAAATAATATTTTTTACGGACATTTGTGGAGGAATCAGACAAAAGTAGATAAATCCGTTTTAAGCAGTGTCGAGTTATCAGCGAAAATCTAATATTTTTCGTTCTGCAACATTTGCACAAAGAACAACCCACGTATAATATAGTATTATAAGACCTGAAAACTCATTTTTTATTTTTTGTCCACCTACATCATGTGTTATGTTAAAAAAACAAAATGGATTTATCTGGTGTTGCTTGAATTGACAGGATTTATCTCAATTTGCTTGAAATAGGAATAAAAACCGTTTTATCCATTAACATATACAGGGTGGTCCAGGATTAATCTGAAAATGTTAATACCATTAACCATTACCAGTTAATTTAAAATACCAATAATGTGAATTTATCTTATTTTTACTAAAACAAGAATTTAAATTGTATTCATTTGGATTTATCTGCTTTTGCTTGATATGCTAGGTTTAGAGACCGGTATTCTATATCAATTACTTGGTTTGGCCCATGGGCAATGTATTAATCATACCTCATTTACTGTTACTTCATACCTAACTCACTTTTCAACAAAAATGAATTTATCTGCTTTTGTCTGAAGGCTCCACATTTATAAAAAACATTTTTTATCTATAGGTTTTTTTTGGGAAGGTTGTTTTTCTTGAATTTAAATTAAATGTTTAGATGTTTATTAGGGTGCTTCATTTTAGAGCGATATTTTTTTTCAGTCCCCCCTGAAAATTTCGGGAAAAAATACTTTTCAGGGGGTATATGCTTAGATTAAGCATTGCTACTGAAAAGTAAACGTACAGTTAAACAAAAATAATCAAAAGTAGATGAGCGGTACGCAAGGAAATCAAAAATTGTTGCCAATTTTTTTAAAATTGAATTTTTATTAAAAAGTAATTTTACCAAATTGATAACAATTTTAAAATGGCAAGCAAAAACGTTTAAGCCTAAAATGTTATATTCTTACTTTTTAACAATGCGAAGGGGGTCGATTTTAAAAGTTATATTGGCGCAATTTTTATTCAACTCCAGTTGTTCTTTATCGATTTCGGCAGCCTCGGCTTTATCGTTTATCTCCAGATTCACTTTAAATTTTAGTTCCTCAAGTTTGTTTACTTTTTCCCATGTTGCCTGCAACCTTTCGACAAAAAGTTTTTTGACCCCTTCCACGATGCATAGTTCCTGGAAAAAATTATTAGTAATATTGTATGGTCAAAATATTTATAGGTTGTATTTTATTAATGATCCTAATGAATCATTATCTACTATTATTTTTTGCATACCTGCAAGCAGTAACAGGTGTGAATCACATGCTAAGAGAGTGTGTTTATTTTTTTACCTGTCTACTTCATATAAATAATACTTTTATTTTCATGGTCTACCTAATTAAAGAATCTTGATATTTTGCCCTCAACCCCATTATACAGTATCAAAGAAAACAGTGTTGTTGTATTTGACAGTACTAGCTATTACGCTGAAAGGAAAAAATAGTTTTGATTTCCCAGAAAAATGTATTCTTAAAGATGTGTGTGTGATATTTTATTCGAAAAAGTTTTGAGCTATTCAAAAAGTTTTTTGGTATTTAAAAGGAAGCAGGAAAAATTATTTTTTTCTCTGAGAAATACAATTTTTTTTTCTTTTCTCTTGAAGAAAAATGTAATTTCTCATAAACCGTTTGAGATTTGAACAAGTTTTTGTTGTTCAAGGGGTTTAAAAACTAACAACTTTTATCTATGGAATGACATACAGTGCTTGCAATATCAACTCCGACCGCACTGGAAAGGACGGCTGTTCAATACCCGCGTGAAAAGAACAAGGATAGAACGCCAAATAGAATTTGATTGGCCAGCCGGCAGGCTACGACAACGCATACCCATCGCGCACCTCGCAGCGTGGTTGACACGAGGATATCAGAACGAGAACTGCAGTGGTGCGAGCAAGAGGTAGTAATTTTAGTGAAAAAGATTATTTAATTAAAAAATGTACACGTTAGAACAAAAAGTTCAGATTTTAATCTGGCATTTTGCTGGTAATTCTGAACGAGAAATTCAAAGATTATTTGCGGGAATGTTCGAGGCCAGACCAAACAGAGAAACAATTCGACGAACCGTTAATAATTTTCTCACGCACGGTTGTGTAGTTCCGATGCAGCTCCGACGGGAACGTCCTCCCCGTGAAAATCTAAATAGAGAAGCGCGGGATACTTTAATTTGCGCGTCAATTGAAGAAAACCCAACCCAGGCATTAAGTACGGTGGCTAGGGAGTTTGATATTTCAGCTTCCACGGCACGAAATGTGCTAAGACGCCATGGATATCGTCCATTTAAGCTGCGACGGGGAAACGAGCAATTCCCTGCCGATGCATTCCGCCGCATGGAATTTTGCGAGGTTGTTATGGAGAGAGCAAATGCCGACCCAAATTTTATCGGTAATATTTTATTTACTGACGAGTCGACATTTACTCTCCATGGCAGGCACAATTCGCAGAATGTTCGAATGTGGGCGCGAGAAAATCCTCGTAGGATTTATGCAGCTCGGACACAGTATCCCCAAAAACTTAATGTCTGGGCGGGTATTTTGGGCGACCGAATAATTGGCCCATTTTTTATAAATGGTAATTTAAATGGCGCTAGGTATTTAAATCTCTTAAGAGACCAAATAGTTCCCGCGCTTCAAAATTTAGACGGAGTTAACATCGAAAACGTATGGTTTCAGCAGGACGGTTGCCCCGCACATAATACGATGGCTGTTCGGGAATTCCTTTCCGACACTTTTGGACCTCGTCTTATTATGGGTCGAGGAGGAATTCTCTGGCCAGCTAGATCACCGGACTTGGCGCCGTGTGATTTTTTTTTGTGGGGGTACCTCAAGTCGAAGCTGTACGTTTTCCAGGAAGATCGGGCTAATAACCTCAATGATTTAGGAATCCGCATAACTAATTTGTTGGGGGATATTAGTCCAGAAGTCCTAGCAAATGTGCGTGGGAATTTTTATAATAGGTTAGGCTATTGTTTGGCTGCCTATGGGGGCTTGTTCGAACATTTAATTTAATTTTTGAGTTTATTTATTTTTATTATTTATTTTTAGAGTTTTATTTTTATTTAGAGTTTTATTTTTATTTATACCTAGTTATTTTTATTCAGAATTATTTTTTATTTGAGAAATCTTTTTTATTAAGAATACTATTTTTGTTGTTGCCCTAGTTCTCAAGGAAAAAATTAAAAAATTTTATTTTTAGGATTCGGGTACCTATAAAATATTTAAAAAGAAAATTAAAATGTGCATCTACACTCTTACGCAGTTTGCTTGACACTAAATCATTTAGTCTAAATGCAGCCAGACTGAGAGTTGACCTCGCTTACAATTCGCACGCATCCGGCAGCCGGCTCTGGCCAATCAAATTCTATTTGGCGTTCTATCCTTGTTCTTTTCACGCGGGTATTGAACAGCCGTCCTTTCCAGTGTGGTCGGACTTGGATTTGCAAGCACTGTATATTCCGTAAAGTATTACAGAATGAAATATTCTATCATCTGATGACAGAATAAACACTCGTGGCGACATCTCTGTTTTTAATATTTAACAAATTTTAGACCGATCCAACCTCACTTTCTTCCAATTAAATTATTTTTCTATGGTATTTTTTGGAAATGTAGAAAAAGTATAGTCTGAAACACGTTTGGAATTGCATATTCCGCTCTCGTGAAACCGTCAAACTCGCCTTCGGCTCGTGCACATGTTACAGAATATACTATTCTATGAAATAAAAAACATGTTTTTTTTGTAACCCATTCCAGGAACATACTGTGTATTTTATAAGATATTACTATTGTCCAAAATTATATTTTTATTCTAAATAGAAAACATTGTCTATAATTAGTATCAATGGCTATAATTAAACCTATTAGACCTATGTCAACTTAAAAAATATTAATAATTTTTTAACTATGTAGAGATGGGATTTTAGTTTTATTTGTCTACGCTCATCATAACTTTAGGTTCAATGGAATAAGAAAAATTCATTTGACCCTGATTTTATTTTACCTATATTACCTAAATTACCTTTATTACATAATTTTTAAATTTTACCACATAAAATAATGTGATTTTACCCATTTCACCTAAATTCTTATTTTTAATAGAAATGAAATTTTCAAATTGTACTACCAAAAACATGATTTTTTTGTAAAATTGGGGTTCTCGTATTTGGATGACATAATTCTTATGCAGTATGTAGTTATTTTTGATATACCAACCAACCCACATTACCAATAATTTAAATAATTGTACCACCTAAAAGTTGTTTTCAAGGACCTACTTTCGAAAAGAACGTACCTAATTTAAGAATTGTCTTGCCTAAAACAAGAAAAAATTTTGCCTATTTATCTACCTATTTTTATAAATTTTGCAACCTAAACTCCCATCTCTAATAATAACCTTGTTGTGTTTTATGTCTAATTACACTGGTTTACAAATTAATAAAAAATTAATGTACAAGGTGTTTTTGTATAAATGGGACACCCCTTTAAAATCTTTATTTGAAGAGATGTTAAATAATTAAAAATTCCAGCTGGTTTCAAAAGGTAATTTTTTTTTATAAAAAGTTATTTCCGCGAAACAAAAAATCCACCTTGACAAAATATCAGATGTGTTATTTAACATAATAAAAACTATATCTGAAGTCAAATAGTTTAATTGCGACCTAATTTATAACCTTAAAATATTCGTACATTGTGATGCTAAGAAGCTAACATTAAGAATAAACACGGAAGACCATGATTCTCGCGTTAAATTTAGCATAATTTCCGGGTCAGTTATTAACAAAACACTAACACAAATATATACCAACTATATATTTTTAAAACCAGAATAAAAACTCTATTTAAATATACAAAATTATACAGGGTGTTTCATTGAAAAACAAAAAAATGCTACTTAATTTAAAATTTCAGTCATGAGCATGTAAGTCAAGTTTTTATGTTTTACCGCACTTTTCGTAGGTGGAAGGTTGGAAGTTGTGTCATGATGACACCGCTCACAAATCGGTTCTGTATTTTTTAGATGTCATATTTAATAAACTGTTACAAAACAAAATTTCAGCTATACGCATGTACATAAGTCAATTTTTTGTTTTTCCGCACCTTGCGTGGGTGGTAGAACTTACATGGGACCGCTTCCGACTCGGTAGAATATTAACTTTCGGTGTATTTTTATTTATTTCAATCTTATATTTATAATACATTTATGCATCTTTGTAAATCCAGTTTTATAATAAATTAATTTTCCAACAATCCTTTAGCATTTACATTTGAAGGGGTTGCAATAAGTGCCTTAGTCACAAATAGGAGATATTGCGGTTTGAAGGTTTATTTTTAATTATGAAATATTACACAAAATATTATGATGAAAATGTGTTTTGTATTGTATTCTTTGCGAAAAGTTATTATATCAAAAAAAATATATAAAATAATGTTTTTATTTTGTCAAAAATTAAGGGATATTTTGAGGAAAAATTTGTTTAAACTTAAAAAAGGTTTATTATATTATAACGCCGTAAAAAAATATATAAATTGTGAAAAAAACTTAAGACTAAGACATAACTTGGGACATAACTTAAAGCAAAACTATCTATTTTATTTTACTTTACTTACCTGCCATAGTTGAGGAGCATCCGTGCAAAACCGGCTAAATCCATTTTATTCAGTTTTTTTTTATTTCGCATCTTTGGGTTCATTTCTATCGACAACCAAGATAATTCTATTTAAATCCGACTAAATCCATGTTAAAATCACATTTAAAAGGTAGCTTTAGGAGCTAAACCGGCCAAATCCACGTTTTTATAGCAAACCCGGCTATATCCAATAAATAATAATATGTGGCTTGGATATGTCGATACTACTACTAAAATTTGTTCTGTTTTTTCATGTTTGCACTAAATTTATTTTGTAAATATTTTTGAATAATAAAGGTTTTTTTCACATTTTATTCGTTTTTTATTCGGTTTTCGAGCAAATCCGGCTATATACAAAACATTTTTTGAAATTTTGGCCTTAATATAAAGTTTTTGAAAACGAAAGTATGTCTTATAAATCAAGTACCACAAAGCCCACAAAACTCAAGTTTGCTTTTTCTTTTATCTGTAAAGGCCAGGAAACCGAGAGTTTTTGCCATTTTCCCAACATTT